TCATGTACAATTCATTTTTAATTGTTCATTTATAAATATTATTTAGTATTTAATTATTTATTTAATAAATAATTAGTATATACACATTTAAATGATTATTTTCTAATTAAATTATTCATTTTTTAATTGTTCAGTTATGAATTAAAATTTTACACAATTTTATATATTTATACATATACACATACACACACACACACACACACTCTCTCTCTCTCTCTCTCTCTCTCTCTAAAATGTATTCTAAAATTTTATATTATACATCTATTATATTATTTTTCTATTTAATAATAAATAATTTAATGAATTCAGACATTAGTCAACTAGTTGCTCAGGCAACCCACCAACTACCTGATTTTGAAAATATGTAGTTTTGCACATCACCAGACTGATGTCACTTTGTACTTCAATATGCTTTCAAGGTCCTTGCAGCGAATGCAATCATTATTTGAAGAGAGATGCTCTAACAATGACTACATTGAGCCATTTCATTTGTAAAGGTGATTCGAGGGCAAGTGTTTGCTGTGGACTCTAGCTTTCCATGGCCATCAACTTGGCTAATTACTAAACAGATTTGTGCTTCAGTTGATTAAATTAACAACTGATAAGCTTAATCGACGAAATTAACAGCGATGATCAACATCCCTAGTAAAAAGAGAAAGAAGTAGAAAGAGATATTGAGAGACAGGACGCGACTCACTGGATCTCCTCCTGATGCAAAAGAGATGGACTGCATGTGATGGTTGGCGATAATCTGTAGGGAGAGAGGGATGGAGAAGAGGACAATGTGACAAAAAAAAGACAAAAAGGTGCAGTGGGCACGAGATGAAGAATGAACAATCATGGAAGCGAGTGAAAGCAAAGGATGGACAGAGAGGGAGACAATGGGAGAAATGATGTGGTGAGACTGTGGTCTAACAGAGGAACAGAGCAGTTGCGTGCAGTAACTCTGCATGGTTTAGATTCATTAAGATACACATATCAGCAGGGCAATTACTCCAGGCCCTATTCTGGGCTCCAGTCAGCTGCCTGCTGATAAACCTCACTGCACTAATGCGAAACACACGGGCATATAACTGAAGAATTATTAGCGAGGAAAAACGTCCTGTGGTGCAGCTGTAAACAAGCCAGAGGATATCTGCTCCTGCCGACTACACCAACTTTACATAATCTAACCGCTGGATAACATAACTTATTTAGTTAAACGTCGACAAAACGATTAGCCCCCTTGAAAGACCCAATGCAGGCTACTTTAATATACTTCCACTTTTAAATACACAAATTAAAATAAAATAAACAACTAACATTAAATAAATAAAAAGATTAAAAAATAAATAAATAAAGTCTTGTGTGAGCCGATCAAAAATAGTCAGCAATGTTAGTATTATTTTTAATATCATTATATTATATTATTATGAATTATCTTTTATTTTGATTTGATTTTCATTTTATTTTTAAGTTTAACTTTTAGTAATTTTGCTATGTTCTTTTTTTAAAGATATTACTATTTATATTTAATTCATTTTTTATTTTAATTTTTAATAAAAAAATATTTTTTATTTATTTAGTGCTTCATGAGCTTCAAGAATTAGAAATGTTTCAGCTTTTCATCTAATATTTACATTTTATTTTATTTCAATTAACCATTATTTTTCAGTTTTAGTTGAGTAGTTTAGTTTAGTATATTTTTATTTATTGCCATGTCAGCATCTTAGGCTATTTTCATGGCAAAACCAATTAAAAAAATGCAAGTATAACAAATGCACTTTTGCTCAATAACAATGGTGAGGCAAGACAAAACATTGTTTTATTCTGTGACCACTTGCAATGTGATCCGACAATTGCAATAATTTTACTGCCCTAGTGAAAAATAAATATACTAAAATCAATGCATTTGAAATACATTTATTTCATGTCAAGTATACTACAAATACATTTACATATTTATGTACTTAATAAAAATACACTGCAATTGTACTTTTAGTATACTAAACTGGTGTACTTAAAGTCTGATAAATTGGAATAACTAATTTTGTGCTTAATTCACTTTAATTGTGCGGACTAGGGATATGCCGGTATCAAATTCTCATGTTGCGATTAATTGCTAATGCTTTTATCACGGTATGCGGTGTTATCACGGTATTTAAATTTAGTTTTAAAAAGTGCTGTCATAATACAGTATAACAGGTTTAATAACATTTTTCTTATAACAAAAATAACTGAACATTTACTATACTTAAGGTACACTTTGAATATCTTGCATTTAAAGGCCGATATTATTCAAAGTAGGCCTGGGCGATAAAACGGTATTGATATTTATCGACGGTACACCCTCTTCGATAACGATATACATTTTTTTTCGATATAGCGCACGATATAGGCACGTGCTATGAGTTACGCAGACCGCACACACAAACACGAACACATGCTGAATTGAGTGCTGTGCCTGCCTGTCTTTGTATTAAGCAATGCATAAATACATGATGCTGTTTTGTTCATAATTGTTTATGCAATTTACGAAATTATGTTTGATTTATATGAGTTAATTTAGACGTAATGCACGTTTTTCTTTTTAAAGACAGTTATTTCCTTTGCGTTGGCAATTTAATGCACTGCATTATTTTGCTCATTGCGACCTCCTGTGGCTTCGGGAGACAAGCCAAAAGTTTCCTTCAGACCTATTTAATCTGCATATAAAACATTAGAAATGAGATATTTGTTTAATTTTTATTTTGTGTTTGACTGTTAAAACAAAAAATATTTGTTGTTTTGTCTCAATAAATTGGGTTAATTTAAAAATACAGTGGTTAAATTTAAACGTTTTTTTCTATTGCTCTTTGTTTTAAAAAAGGTTATAAAAAATGTCAATAATTATCGATACCGAACGATATGAAACATTATATCGTTGATACATTTTTTAGCTATATCGCCCAGCCCTAATTGAAAGATCATACAATCCTCATCAATAGTGACACTCAAACACATTTTAGGCTTACTATTAAGAAATGTGCATTGTGCACAAATAGTACTCCAAATAAAGTTTTATTGTCATTTTTCTATCAATAAGTCTCAAGCGATATGTCAGTAAATATGTTAATAGATTTGGACTATATACTTAGTATGAAATAAATGTAAAATATAATAAATCATATAATTAATTAATGCAGTGTATGAATGACAAGTGTGTAGACGATCTTATCAGCTTATTTAGCGCTAACAATGTGTGATCAGAGCCAAACTAGTGTTTATACTAGTAAGTATACACACTTTTGAGGGAAATGAACCTACTTTAAAAAGCTTGCTTCTAGCTGTCTCTACACATAGCACAACTAGGATATGAGAAAGTATTTTAAACATCGTAAAAATGGCAAACTTCACTTTTAAGACGTACTGAGAAATGTTTAATTCAGAGGAAGAGATAGCATAATTCAGTCCATCCCGTCCTGCTGTGAAGAGCGTCTGCATAACGCGGGCCGCTTTCACCATTAGCTGCGGGTAACAGTGGATTTCACACAGCAAAGAAGGCACTGTGTTCATGTTTGTGTGCATGTGTGACGTCTAACCTGTTTGCAGTCGACTGCCAGCAGGTTCAGGCTGCTGGTCGACACGGTGAGGCTGATTGTCATTCCAGCAAACTGGAGATTACTCTTCCCTAAGATGGAGGAGAGACAACGAGAGGAGGGCTGCAAAGAGACAGAAACAGAAAGACTCCATTAAAGGGTTAGTAGTAGATGACTTGAGGGTGAGTAATTTATGGGCTAATTTAAATTTCTGGGTGAACTAACCCTTTAATTACACCAGACACCAGATCAAAAAAAAAGTAAAAGACTAAATATTTCATGATAAAAAGATGAAACCTAAATATTTTATGAAAAGAGATTTCAATGGGAAATAGAGAACATTTTAAATAGTCTGGTCTGTCTGAGGCTTGTTTTACCTCACATTCAGTGCCTATATCAACACGTCAGGTTTAGTCAATCAGAATTTTACACTACCATCCAAAAGTTTAGGGTCAGAGTTGTTTGTTTTTTTAAAGAAATTAATACTTCTATTCAGCAAGGGTTTATTAAACTGATCAAAACTGTAAATAAAAGTCATTTATAATGTAACGGTTTGACAGGTTTCCACAAAAATATTAAGCTGTTTTTTTTTTTAGATTTATTTTTGCCGTTTTTGCCTTTTTTTTTATGATAGGACGGTTTAGATCTGACAGGAAGCGAAGTGGGAGAGAGAGAGACGGGGGCAGGATCGGGAAAGATCCTCGAGCCGGGATTCGAACTCAGGACAACTGTAGCGCAATGCTTCTAATGTTTCTTGAGCAGTAAATCAGAATGATTTCTGAAGGATCATGTGACACTGAAGACAGGAGTAATGGCTGCTGAAAAATCAACTTTGCCATTACAGGAATAAATTACACTTTATAATATATTCAAATAGAAAACGGCTGTAAAATTTTAATAGTATTTCACACTATTAATGTTTTTACTGTATTTTTCATCAAATAAACACAGCTTTGTCGAGCATAAGAGACTACTTTCAAAAACTTGAAGAAAAAAAAAACCACTGAAATTATTCCAAACTTTTCACGAGTAGTGTAGCTGTAAATGAGGTATCTGTGCTGAGCCCATTTTTGCTGTTAACTACAAACTCATTTAAAAATGATTAAAAATACAATTTTGCAACATAGGTTTTTATGAAGCAACATGAAATACTTGAATAAACTAGTTTCACATGCAGTAACAGCAACACAAACACTTACTATTCAGTAAATCTGCCTGAATCCAGATGGTTTACACTTTGTGGTTTGGTTTTAGTTTTGTGTAAATAAAACCAAATAGAATATACTTAAAGCGGCATACTACTACCAATAAGAATTCTGAATTAAAAGCCATTATTAAAGGAAAAACTCAATATGATAAGCCAGAAATCATTTTATTTTCTGTATAGAGCCACTGTAGCAATGCTGTCAACTCAAGCCGGCTGCTGCAGTTACACTGATGCTCCGCTTATCACATCACAACAGGCGTGCTTTGTGAAACAAGCCTGTGTTGATCATAACCAAAGCAGACTTTGGCTCCTCACTCACACACAAAACCTATAAGCAAATCGAAAGAGGTATTGCACTCCACAACCTCTGAAACCAGCCATAAACCAAATACCACAGTCTGACCAGCCGAGACACAACACTTTGAGCAAGCGTGTGTGAATGTGTGTTAAATATAACACAGCAATATTTTTACTGGAAATTGGTCAGGCCTTACTAGAACACTGTGAGGTTTGTGAGCTGTACCTGTGACTAACAAAAGTGCAAATATATTGCGCGGCTGAAAGTCTGTGCCTGAGAAAGTAAGATAAGATAAAGCGTTGAATACCTTTCTCCTTCGCTGAGCTCCTTTGGCACCTGGTACTGCCTCACACACCACTGATATTGCCTCCCTGAAATACAAAACAAACGGTTATAAACGTACACACATGCTGGGTGGAGATTGCGAGGAGAACATAATCAGATTGTTAGATGAGAGTTTCCATCACACTCCTTTTCATGCGTTCCTAAATTTCATATGGCTGAGGGACTATTACATTAGACACATGCTCCAGTCATTACACTTCCTGCCATCTGACACATGCAAGCAGGCAGACACACAAACAAAAACACCAGGACTGCTACTGTTAACAAAAACTATTTTAAAGACAAAAACTATATAAAAAAAAAAACGATAAAAAATAAATGTACAAGAGTGAAAAATAGACTGCAATTATAAATATTCACTAAAATATGAACAACAAATGCTACAAAATTACAGATAATTATTTTAATCAATGGTGTGATTCATTCTAAATCTGATTGACTGAATGGTCTGATCTAAATCTGAAGCTTAACTTTAGACTATAAATGTATCTGTCATACAAAACTCCCTAATTAAACAAGAAGCAGCATTTAGACTCACAATCGCTGTGTGCTTACTGCTTTTTTTAATGTGTTGTCATAGGCAAAACAGGCTTGTTCTTTGTTGTTTCAACAAGGCTGTCACCTTTAAACACTCCACATTAATAAATATCAAAATTAATATAGATTTTTCACCTGCACATTATAATGTTGTAGGGCTGCACAATTTGGGGAATAAATCTAAAAAGCTTCACTCTGAAACATGCTGGACAATTATTTATTTAATGAAATTGCAGCCTTGTGATGACTAAATGGCAGCATATAAAATTAATGCTTTTTAGTGTTTTAATTTTTATTTACTTAGTTAAAAAAAAAAGTATAGAATTATTATATTGCTTTTTTTGGGGGGGGGGGTTATTGACCACAACATGAAAATAATTAGTTTGGGTTTTGGGTCAACCACAAATATGTAATATAAGGGCATCCCTACCTTACAAAAAATAAATAAATAAATAAAAACTATTTCTTTTTATGTGTATTTTGATTTTAAAAAAAGGTGAAAATTACATTTCAAATATAGAAAAAACTCAAAAACTAGTCAAGTTTTCCAAGCCATAATAACTCACGCACACGCTCCTAATGTTTTTTCTTGAATGCATTTCACCCTCCAGCGAAATTGAGGATTATGCATGAAAACAGTTTATCGAGCAGCTGCTACTGTCAATATTGAGAAGCAAATGTGTGTAGCATCCATTAACAAACACACACACGAACAGGGAAGAAAAGGGAGGAAACCGCGAGGGTTCCAGAGGATTCTATTATAAGACTTTATGGTTACACAGCAGGGCTGATGCCATTAGAACGCCTCCCTTCTTCCCCGTTCTCTTTCTTACATACAAAAGCACAGCATTTCAGTGTAGAATGCGTTGCATTTTGCAAATAATGTGGTTTAATATGGGAAGTATTCTGCAGTTTTATAGTCCTACAGATACCAACACTTTCATAATACTTTATAAGTGTGGACATCAACATGCATATTATTCAAAAAAGTGTGAGAAAGGAAGAAACCGAATGGCTGTGAGAATGAGAAGATGGTTGTGTTTGTTCATTATTTTAGTATTTCTCTCTTGCGTTCTCTTTCATGAATTTTTCATCAGAGGAAGGGCTTTTAACCAGACCCGTGCGAGAGAGTGTATGTTCGTGCACATGTGCATTAGGATGTGGAGAGAATGTACGATTAAATCACTCCTGCGGGACGCTGTGGATATACATACACTGGATATTTGAGCGAATATGAGAGGAAGTGCAAGCGAGAGTGAATGTGTGTGTGTGTGTTACCTGGTAACCTGAGTTCTGGTGTTGAAGTCCAGTGCTCTCATTGACTGCAGCACCTCCACACAGCCCATATACTGCAGCAAAGACAAAGAAGACAAACCTTCAGTCACAGCACTTCCTGTGCTAGCCCTCCAACCACAATTGAGAGCACAGAATATGGTTGTGTTGCACAGTTGCCTTGTGTCAAGATTATTGAGTTGGCCAGGCAGCTGTCGTGCATGTGGTTAAGTGCGTGTGTGTACGTGTTTTATGAGAACTGATGCTCTAATTACGAAGCACTAATTAAATAAAGCAGTTCTCAATGTAGTTCCTGCCCATAGAAAACGCCACACATTAAAGAAAACAATCCATTAAGTAGATAAAATGGACTTGAACTAAAATGGACTCACTGAGAGAACTGAAAAGCAACAGAACTCCAAGCTGTTAACCAACATTTATATCAACATTAGGGCTGCAACAATGTGCAGAAACTAACAAGCTATGTTTTTCGTTTTCAAATTAATGTTTCACCCAAACTCTCAAACTCCCAACAGAAATAGTATATGGGTGTTCGCACTTCTGTATAATCATTACAAGAACCAAGTTAAGCTTCTTACATTGACCAAAAAACGAAATAAAAACAAATAAATAAATAAACACTTTTCATGCACAGCTGTTTTGATAAATTATTTTTAGTAGTAGTAATAGTAGTATAAAAATGTGACAAACAATTACTATTGTAATATTGTTTTGGGCTGTGTCTGAAATGACCCTTTATACCCTTATAGACGGTTTCATCGGGTGCACGTGCTTGGCCTGAAGTTAACTTCCGGTCTGTGTTTGTTTATCGTCTGGCTAGTGGTGCTGACCACAAATGCAGTTAAAGTTAAGGTGATGAGTAGATAGAAGTTGGGCTCAGGCTGTTGTGCTGTGGGATGTGTTTCCCATACATTTATATATTTGTGGCAGTCACAATATCAAAACTGACCACAACAAATAGATTTTCCAAAAGGCTTTGACTTCGTTGAATAAGCATGAGCTCTGAACATTTCAAAATCAAAACACGGCGCAGGTGTTTGTACTCTGAAGGAAAACGACTGTCTTCAGAAAATTTACAATGTCATTTTCATTTCATCTTGCCTGTAATGCCCGATAAAGCAGCGTTTGTGAGCAAAGAAACTGGGGAAATCTCTATTTCTGCCGCTCCAAAAGCACCTCCTGCTGGCAGAGAATGAATTTGCATTTACAATAAGCCCTTCTGATTTACGCAGCAAACATATTTTGCTTGTTATCAGAAATAATCTACTCTAGAGGGACTTTGCTGTTGTTATTGATTCTTTGCAGAAGTCTACTGGAAGTTAAGTTTGGGCCACAAAAGCACACGTGCACACTGATTTAGTCCCACAATGCAACGGTGTACAAGTGATGTACGCTCAATGTCTAGCCGCTAGAGAACACTCATGCATATCTTGCCAAAAAATAGTAAAAAGGGAAAAAAGGGAAAAAAAAGGAAAAAAAAAAAAAACTGAAGAGAAACCAGTGGTGGGAAGAGGACACAAAACTGGGCTACGCTTCCCAAAAATATTGTAAGCCTAAGTTGATCATAGCTCCATTGGTTTCAATGGGTCTACGATGTACTTAAGCTTCTTATGCAGACCCATGCATCTTACCCTGACAGTGTAGGAGACCCCAGTGGTGCTGATCACATTGTCCGAGTGCAGCCAGCCTCGGGTGGGCTTGTTGACGAAGGAGCCGTGCCGTGTCCACTCATCTCCGCCGAGCTGGCCCCCTTCCACACGGGCCCTCCGTGAGGCCCCGCCCAGCCGGTTCATATCCTGTGGGGGACGAGGAGGAGGAGATGGGGCTGTTAGAGAAAGGAGAGGAAGAGGAGGAGGAGAAGAGTTGGTGGCAGAGGTCCCAGTGTCTTCCGGAGACTCTCCCAAACCTCCCTGACCACCTGGCACATTAGCCGGCCTGCTGGAGACCTTCAGGCCTGGGAGCAGAGTGGAAGACACACCCAGCCGCAGGGCTCCCATCCTGGGGAAGAAGGAGCAGAGGGTGGTGGGGCTGTTTTCAGCCTGCCGTGGAGAAGAAGGGGGGAGAATGGGAGTGAGGGGGGAGGAGGAGAGAGAAGGAGGGATACCGGGAGGGGTGAGTGGGGTGAGAGGAGCAGAAGAAGGGAGAGAGGGATTGGACGCCGTCTCATCTGTTGAGCTGAAGGAGTCGCTCCTGAAGGGCGTGTATTTGGTTTTGGGGACGAGCTCCATTGGTGTCTCAGCCATCTCAGTGTCCACTAAACGTCCTTAATTGTCTCTCAATGTTGCACTATCGCAATCAATAACTTGTCTTCCCTTGTCTTTTATAGTCCTCTTTTTCTCTGCATCTACTGATTCCTTCATCATCGCACCAGAGAGAGGACAGTGTGCTGACTGTTCAGTCCGGGAGACTATCAAAAACAGGATGTGAAAAGAGACGAAAAGACAGATGCAAAAAAAGTACTAAAGTTTTCTGCTGTTGTCATACACAGCGTGTAGGTTTTGCATTAGATCTTCAGTCTGCATAGAGCTTCTCAGGACACCATGAATTACTAAATATAGTATGATTGTCATGAAGTTATTGGTATAGTCATATATAAGTGCTCCAGACACAATCAGTCTCAGTAGATATGTGAAAGAGAGTACTATTGTGTTTTATATGCATGCGAGTGTGTTTACGTGCGTGTTCATTTCTCTTTGCATGTGCTGGGCTCCACTCTACTAGCTCTTGTCTGACAGACTCCCATAAAAAGCCTATTAGCTGCAGCTGAGACTTTAAGAGAGGAGGCTTCCGTCAGACAGACGGATCAATAGAGCGAGAGAGGAAGAGAGCGGGAAGAGATGGATGGAAAATGCTAAAAGTACTGATCCAGTGAATGTGGATCATTTAATGATGATTCAAACTGCTGCGCTCAGTGATGATTAGACTGGCGCCGAACAACATAATCCTCAACGTTTGGTTTAAAGACTAATAATTTAGTTAAAAAATGTAGACCAGGGATCTACAACAAGGGGTACGTTGACCTCTAGGAGGTCTGTTAATTTTCACTTTATCTCAAACTATCCTATTTTTGTGGTAAAAATGAAATTATGCATACAATATTAAGCTAAATGTGAAGTTAAAGTGCAGCTAAATGTTTAATTTTTCCTTCAACAATAAAACGCATTACGTAAAATAATGATTATTTTAACAGGTTTTAAACATCATGTATGTATAAATATATTAATATGATACTAAACAGATTTTACTATAGGCCAGACTTAAATTCAACACTTAATTTCATACAATATATAAAAAGGGGACCTAATGTACACTATCTAGCACCTAGATTACATGAAGTCTGAGTACATGCAGGTTTATTTGTACCGTAAGACTAAATCTGCCACCTCACGTCCTGTCACACATCTGAAAGCGCTTAGCGCTGACACATGCCCATCTTTTCCTGTTACTCCCTTTCCCTCCTCCTCCAGATGATTTTGGGACCACTGTCGCCAAGCCGAGCTCTATCCCTATCTTTCTCCTCCTCTTCCTCTCGTCTTTTCCAGATCACCTCCGGCTGCGCTGCTTTCGCGCCCTCGGCGCTCGTTCCTTTGAGTTTATCCTCCTCTCTATCCTTCCTCTCTTGGAATCCCTCCCTCAGCCTCCACACCGTGTATCCCACAGTGTTCCTCCTCTCCTCCTCCAGCTTCTGCCTCTCCAGCTCTCTCTCCCTCTCCAACACGCTCGCTCTCTTCTTCCAGATAATCTCTCGCTCCCCCGCGCCCCCTCCCACGTCTTCTTTCCCGTTCTCCAGGCTGTCCAGCTACTCCTATTTTCCTAAAAAAAAACACACCTGAGCCTCTTTGCGATCTTCAAATTAGCGCAATAATTCACTGAATCATACAACTCAGGGAAAAACAAACTAATTTTCAGTTATACACAAAGATAAATAGCCCTGATAAACAACAGTTTGTAGAAATATGATTTAGAAAAGGACAGAACTAGACTCAGAAAGCCCTGAAACAGTTAAGTCAAAGATAAATATGGCTGTATAGAAGATAACATGGGTTCGAGCACCATTTGAAGTAACCACTGATTGTTTGGTGTGATCTGTGAAGTTAAAGTGTGACAATCCAGCCGCAAGGAAACTATGATGTTCCTAAAACAAGCACGTTCGAGCACTGTCAGGGTGACAGTAATGAGACCCGATTGGACAAATCTGAAGTACCGCCTCCAGAGATCTGCTCATTAGATGCTAACTGGAAAATCAATCAGTTGCTCATTAGCCTAAATGACACCTTAAAATCAGGCAAACAGTCTTGGGTTGAGCAGTTCTTTATAGATCTGTTTCCTGAGTGAAAACCTACCCTCTAAACGTCACTTAGCAAAGTCAAACACCGAATTTAACCGCACCAATGCTCATCCCTGGTGTAAAGCACTTTAAAACCTCTGATAGAGAGGCAACAGTCTTGTAACCTCTAACAGTTCTGAGCTAACAGACCAGGGTAACTCTAAACCTCACAAATGTTTAGCATTTATAGACCATTAACAGTTTCTACTGGTGTTGTGAATGCCAGTTTATAGCCAAGTCCAGCCGACTTGAACTAAATCCAGTCTTGTTCTATGTACAATGGTTTTCACTGCATATATTTAACATTAGCAACCACAAAAACACCTTGAGCTTCTATTGTTGTGGCTTACTTTGACCAGTCAGGTGTTTCTGATCGTTTTTGTACTCTTTAGCACCACAAAGAAGCCTCAGGGCTGCAAAAAGACAGTGTCTTGCCTCAGATGTGCATGAACAAATGCGAGACATCCCAAGTTGTTCCAACAGATGTGACTGGCAGTCAACGAGGCGGCCCTATTATCTCGGCTGGAGTGCGGCAAGACCCGAGGGATTTATGTGCACTCCACTGCATCTACAAAGCACCACGTTAGCGGTGCCATTGGGCCATTCTTACGGAGAGATTCCTCACAGAGGACCTGTAAAGAGAACCACTCAGACCTGGTTGACAAAGCTCAATAAGTTACGAGACAAAGTTCGTAAACTGTATCATGACGACATGGCACAGAACCAGTAGTTTAGTGCTACAGAGCTCACTGTATTCAGTATAGTCTGAATAGCTTTGCTCTTTTTTTTTTTACAGTGCACTTAGACAGCAGTGTCCCAGACTTGGCTGTATTACCAAATCACTCATCGTGTCATGGACTTTATTGACGTCAACACAACATGGCACAGAAATAGCACAGTGTTTAGGAGAACCTGTACAGAGAAGTAGAAATCCGACTATTAAAAAAAAACATTTAAATAATAACATAAGAGTTTAACACACTAGGGTAACCTAGCCTGGGTGTAGCACCTGTCAGTTAGGAATATGGCAAAATCCCTGTTTTGATATGATGGGTTGTTTCAGAAACCAGTAAACATGAGTGAATGAGTTGCCAACCCAACAGTGGCTGCACTGTATCTAAAGGTCAAGAGGTTCCTGTTGGTCTGAAGTGAAACCAAAGGCAAGTAAGCCAACCACACAGAGAGACTATTTTCAAGCATAGGTGTAGTTAACAGGCTAGACTCGAAACGGCTAATCTCATTGTCCTAAAGGTAAATCGGATGTTGAATTAGTGCAGTTGAGCTCCAGCACAGATGGAAAAACCTGAGTTTAACTACACCATTTCAATATAAAACATCATGAATCAATGATTTTGATGGTCAGTGAAAAAATAAGTCCAATGTTGACAACTCTGATTTAGAGATTGACCGAATGAACTAAATATTCAGAGCAAGCACCTTGAACCCTCGTAAAGTCTGAAGGCACGACTCTTTCCTAATACTGGCGAGATTGAATGTAGAGCCTGGTTTTGGGATGCTGCAACACATTAAAGTTGTGAAAGACAAAGCATGAGACCTTAATATACCAATGAAACGGTTGCCATGGTAACAGACTGAGGAAAAAAACGTGCGAGACAGTGTCATGACACAACCCAAACAAAATCCGACAAGTTTCGCCAACACAAAACCTGTCGGCTCGCTCCCCGTCCAATCACGAGAGCTCAGAGCCAGCGTGAATCAATGTTCTGCAGCGAGCACTGGCACACGATGGGAAAGTTCAACCTCTGCCGCCACAAACACCACAGCGGTGATCAGTGTTGACATCCAAACTCAAAAAGAACCAGATGCACATCTGGACACATGCACAGAGCGCAGTCATGGCACCAGTCCAAATGAAAATCAAATATTGCTTGAGTACACACACAAACACACACTTAAGACAGACTCATGCACACTTCCACCTAAAGGCAGCAGAACTAGCAAAAGCTAAACAGTAGTCCTGATATCTATGAAATATCTACCGATATCTATGAAAGCACCTGTTTATACACTACAAAGAAAGACATCTAAAAGTTTTGCATAAAAAAAACCTGATTTCTGTCTGTATAACTCTTAAGTAACACCAAAAACAATGTTTCTTTAACAGACATCACTATGTACATTAAAAATACAAGAGTTTACAAAAAGTCAAAGTAAAAGAATTTAAAGAGCTTTAAAGAGCTTTTTTTGTCCTCACGGTGTAGTTGCTGCAGAAAGTAAGAGCGATATTTCATACACTAAGTCCTTGGATTAAAAAGAGAACGAGAGAGCCACATTTTAGGTAAAAACAAATGACCTCCATGTTCAAATCATAATCACGTTAATATTTAAACAGTGCCAGACAATCCTCCTCCTTCTCCTCTTTCTCCCTCTCTTGCTTTCTGGCTCAGTCCCCTCCCTGAAAGACAAAAACACGCTCTTTTCTTTTATCCTTTTCTTCTGTTCTCTTCAAAATCACAAAGTCACGCCGGCTCCCTCGTTCAGCGTCAGTCTCGTCCAGCCTCACTTCTTTGGAACGGCGTGATGAACGGCATAGCGGTCTTCTTTTGTCCTCTCCTTCCCCCACAGTCTTTCATCCTCTCCTCTCTCCACCTCCGTCTGTGTGTGAGGAGCGATGTAGCCGACTGTCCTCTATTCTCCTCTCCTCCCTGTCTGGTCTACCGTGCTCTCTCGCTCTCTCTCTCTCACTGATGCTAGCGCTGATTCCCCCTGCACTCCTGCCCCCTCCTTCCCTTCCTCTCGTTCTCTCTCTCCTTGCAGAGTCAGTCATTTATGCATTTATGAGAGTGTGCATGCATGCACAAGCAGCCGAGCACCTCTCACTCTAATGCACACAATTATGATGGGGGCCAAGGGGAGAGAGAGTGTAAGCGCATCAATGGATGGAGGGGAAAAATCGGATGAGAAGCATGTCAATGTCTGCCCTCAATGCTCCTCCCATGGTAACTTAAGAGCAAGCAAGTTGGAGGCTAGTCATTTCTGTCTACTTCCTCTTGAAATTCCATAATCCTCCACATAATTCCCACTTTTATCATATTTATGACACTTTAAAGATACAGATCACCTTGAAATGAAAATTCAGTCATTAATTTACTCACCTCGTGTCGTTTTAAACCTGTATGACTTACTGTCTTTCTTTTTATCCATATAATGAAAGTCAATGGGGTCCAAAACAAAACTAAATTGGACCCCATTGACTTTCATTGTATAAAAAAAACTCATTCAGTTGGAATGACATGAGGCTGAATAAATGACAGAAATGTAATTTTTGTCTGAACCATCCTCAACCTCATCAACGAGCCAATGTCGAGCAAAAGCAAAATGCAGGTCATTTGACGCATCCTCAAGGTTATCTTGCCATATGCGCTTACAAATCTAGACCGACCATGCAATAAGCGTCTAATTGATGTGTTGGAATAACTAGAGGGTTGATTTGTGAGTCATTCAGTCGAGTGACCTGAATTCAGCGTTACGAGGAAGAGTCAGCTGAACTACAAATCCCAGAGTGCACTCTGTCTGTGCTCTTGCTTTCTAAGGACACGGGGGACTGCAAATGCTGCAAAGGTGCATCAGTTCTTTTTTTTGCTCTGCTTCTTCCCGGTCACTTCTCTGTGCTGAAATGTCCATCAGAAACGTCTGGAGGGAGGGAATACTCGAGCTTAAACACAGTTGCATCATGGTCCTTAGCTCCAGGGCATGGGCATGTCTGGCGAGCACACACACTCAGAGCAGACAGGCGGAGGGGGAGGGAGAGAGAGAGAGAGAGGTAGAGAATATGCAAAACACATATAGGAAAGAAATACAGCTCGACAATCACAAGAAATGAATTAATGCAGACAAACATTTACAACAGGGTAAACAAACACATGATCAATGCAAAAAGACAACTGATTCAATTACACACTTTTAAATTTGAAGAAATCAGACAAACACACACAGCAGAGCTCAATAATAAAGATGGTGAAAGTGTTTTGGTCCAATTGTGAGAATTGTCACCCGCTCTCTCAAACAAATATATCTTACATTTATTGGTGATGTGCATAACTTTAGCATTAGAAATTGTTCTTGCAAATTGTTCTGATGTAAATATGTCACCACGATAATGATATTTAGATCCCTGGCATAGATGAGGCTTTGCCAAAATGCAAGAATTATTGTATAGTGCACAATATATCAGCACCCGATCGGTAATAAGCCAGTATATTTATTTATAGGTATCAGCCAATACTGGAAAAATGTAAAGATAATTTAGATTACTTTTGCTGGCATCGAATAAGTTCATCTTTAAAACACATGTTATTTAAGAACACTGTAAAAAATTAATCGTTAACAGATTTCAGAACAAATATCTATTTTTCAAACTGTACATTATAATGTTGTGATGCTTAAACCAACTGATTTTAGATTTTAGTGTTTTATTTTTAGTTTTAAACAACATCCTACAGAATTTTATATCAGCCATTTATCAGTTATCGGTCATAACATGAAAATATGATTTATCAGTACTGTCCAGAATTTGTGCATCCCTGATGAAAGCGTGATAACATGACACAAATGGTTAAAAATTATAAAAAAATAATGTATATATGCCATTATTCTCCAGCAATAATATATATTTTACAATTATTTTTGTTTTTTCCTGACACACACAAAAAAAACTTTCAGAACTTTTTGCTCAGAAAAAGCCCTTATTGTTGAGCCCTGAGGGGGCTGCAAATTTTTAATTAAAGAGCAAAACAAGAACCACAATAAACGCAATATCAAGATTCTCAATTCATAAGACAAGCTTCCAAGAATAAGTACAAACAAAAATGAAAAGATGTATGCCATGATGAACCCAAGAACCCCCGGAGGAACCCACAGCAGGTAAGAAAAGACATCAAATCCCAGACTCCCTGCTTTAATTTACAATTCTGGTGCCATGACCCAAGATCTCCAACACATTGAGATGAAATAAAAAAGTAAATCCACACCTCAGAAAGAAGTAGTAAGAAAAGAATAGGGGAATACACATGAGTCAAAGTGAAGGTCCAGAGACACCCATCCCATCACCTGGTGCATGTTGGAAGTGTAACCCTAGGCATAGAGGCTGATGATTCTCATTAATGACAACATGAAGGCGTTTCACCTAGAGACCCACACACTCTTGAGCATCTCAGAACGGAAGGACAGGATGTGTGCTAACACAGAGAGATACAGAGCATTATGGTAAATCTAATGACCTACATTTTCAACTCCCTAAAGAAACATAACGTTGTGTATAAAGCACATTGCGCGTGCATGTGCAGAATGCAGTAAAAGATATTCATAGACGGCACTAGATGTTCTCTTCTTACCCGGCTCACTGTACTAAAACTTTTGTTGCCATGTAACTGCAAGGACCAGACTCACATCAATTAAAAATAAGCACAGAGGACAAAATCAAAGCCTATTTCAGTAATAAACTACATAATACACAGTGAAAGAGCAGCATATTATGCGTGAGGCTTGTAATACAACTAGTTAATCGAGGCACGCCCAACAAATTAATGTAATTTAACCTAAATCTTCCATGACAAGGAATTCATACCAATTATAAAGGGTGTAATTCCTGTCAGTTGGGTCTCCGTCTGAGTAATAGCATAAAGCGTGTTTATAAGTTAGCCTACTGGCTTCCACACTAACTGGACAAAATGTATCAGGTCATGTTTTCCGGTAATGTATGACCAGCCTCCATGCCTCAGGATACGTATGTGCAGGTGTGTTTGGGGAAACGCTTACCACATACTCCATTGGAAAACGCTCTTTTGTGTGTCAGTTTTCCTAGAAAGTGCATGTAAACGTATATTAGCACACACACACAAAAAAAAGGGGGGAAAAAAACATGACACATCAGCAAAGCCACCAATTACAGCAAGCCTTTGATTAGCCTGAGGGCCAAAATCATCCAAAAGAAAACAAAGGGAGGGTTTTATTGGCATAAAAAACATTTTTTTGGTATGCATTTATTCATGTATGATTCAATGGAGGATTATGACAAAGACTTTGTAAATTAGTCAGCTTTCCTCATAGCACCTGGGGAAAAAAACCATCACAACTCCATCTGGCTCCTACTGATAGTTTGATTGTGCATGCATGCATGTGCGTTCAAGATTAAAATACCCCCCCGAAAAAGAGAGAGGCAGACATTCTTTAATGTGCCTTTATGTCTGTGGTCGTGCTCAGACAAACCATGGAATGAAAGGAATGACCAGTCAGGACAGGTAATGGGTACGTACGCTGTAGCTCGCTTATGTCTCAGATTGAATGGGTGACAGCACGCACATGTTCCAGCCTGCTAGGAGTTGATCAGAGCAGGTAACATTCTTGAAACAGCCACCCAGAATAGAATTGTTCCTGTGGTCAGTAACCAACAGCAACTCCTCTGGAACATTTTGTGTTACTTTGGTAACAATGTGTTCTTTGCTTATCACTGATACTACTCTGCAGTGTGCACTGATATCAAAAAGCATTGTGGGTGCACTTCGAACCCACATTCACACTTTAGCAGATGTGAAGATGTGGGTAGAGGATGAAAGGTACACAGACTTGTATAACTATTATAACTTAAGCATTTTAATTAGTGTACAAAAAAACTGATGCAAAAAAGTATTAGACTGGCACTTTAATTTCAATGTATTATATCTGCATATACAGTAATTAGTACAGGATTAGTAGCACAGAGGCTTCTGGTTACTGGCTGTTTAGCAGCTTATTTTAGGAAAGAACCACCCACTCAGACTGACAAAAAATAAATCGGCTGATCACAGTTTCCTTTTTTTACAGAAAGTTTACACCGTGTCCTAACCAGGTGCGATGTGACAGAATTCCAGTAACACAGTGTTATTATCATTATCTAACAAAAACTATAACAAAAACTGAGTAAAAGCATTATATATATAAATATATAATTGGAAAATCTGAAAGTAAACTAAAATATATTTTCTTTATTTCAAAACTAAGTAGGAAAATGGCTATAAATTAATTTTAATTTCATGAATATATAAGTAAAAGGTTTCAAATTTCATAAAGTGCTTTCATTAAAGCTTTAGTTCAGAGGATTTCTTGGCTAAAATGAATTTAAAAATCAGTTATTGACAACAGTAATCCACAAGAGTAAGCTCATAATAATGACTCATTATTTGGCCTGTTGGGTTGGAATTTGTCGAAAATGACAATTTGTTTTTTGCAACATTATTGAATTTACTGTAAAGCTGTTCTCAATGAGTCACAAAAAACAGTGGAAGACAATTACCTTCTCAAAAGAAATTATTTAGAGACATCATTTTTATATTTTGTCGTCTTTTTGGAAGAGGACATTTTTGATGTCACTAAGTGAATTTCGCTCTGAAAAATTATGACTTGTTACCACATAATATCATATTCATCTGCAGTGAAAAGCTGAACCGAAACAAAACTCGTACCCCATTTTGTTACTTGTACCAGTGTGTGCATACTAGAAATGTAATGGTATTAAAATTTATTATCATGATTATAGTGACCAAAATTATCACCGGTATTGTTAAAATGTGCTGGAAATGTTCAAAAAGTACAGACACAAAGGGCTGTGGCGGTCGCCATGACAACCACACCACCGAGCTGTTCAAATCGCGATAATCTAATATGGTTTTAATGATACTTCAAATATGAAACGGTAATACTACTAACCGTGGGGAATTTTGTCATGATTTATCGTCAAACCGGTAATCGTTACATCCCTAGAATCTGCACTGCATACAATGACAATAAAGATTCAATTATTAAAACAATGTCCTTCCATGAATAACTTGCTGTTTTACACCTAAATCGCCAAAGAGCAAAATATATTGTACTGCTGCTTTAAACATAAAAAAGACACTAGATAACTCTAGCAATAACGATAGACACCCTTGAAAAATTACATCAGTTAATCAGCTGGAAAACAGAAAAATCTAAACTGTCATAGAGTGAAAACTCAATGAAACTAAATGTTTTGAAAGGACAAACTAAAAATAAAACAAATTCTAAATTTTATAATAACCTTGCAGTGACACACGGCCCATACATGCCCCTGAAAACACATATGTTAGTCAGAAATTATTAAGTGAAGGCCTGAAGACGCAAGTAACAT